GCTCAGGTTTGATATGTAAATGGTCTTTTACTATTTAAAAATTAGAGCTCTTTTGATCTTGTTCTCCTTCCTAACCAGGTTGATGATATATCCACCTGTAGTCTAATTACGGTCTATCTAGTGCCTGCAGTTGATGTGTGTTGGGGCCGTGCCTTTCCTTCCCTGCGTTCCAGCAGTGAGTTCAGAAGACATGGCGAGGCTGCGGATTCTTTTTGCTAGTTGGGCTGCCATGTCCTTTTCAATATGTAAAATACTTTTGTGTTTAACTTGTTTAACTGATGGGTTGTAGCTTGTTTTGGCTCATGAAGGCAAAACCATGTTTAGTGGTTGTACCTGAACAGAACACTAATCTCCCTTGTACCAAGGAAATGCCATTACTCCCTAGTATTAGCTCCGAGTACATGAGCTACTGACAGCTTGCCTGTAAATCTCCAAAGCAAAGGAAAGATGTAAAAAGTGTTGCTCCTTCCAGTGGCTACGAATTTGCTCCTCTTCTTGTAGCGGATAGTACCAATTTAATGTACACTAAGTTGAGTACTTCCCCTGAGTACTGGCAGTGTGATGTCACTGGTTTCCTTGAGTTTGTGCTGAGACCTGGAGAAGCTCCTCACAAGTGCTTGTCAGGTACTGCTGTAATGGTCTGCTGTCCACGCTAGCTAAACTGGCACCCTGGCTATTAGAAGCAGTGCCGCAACGTTAGCGGTTACTGCTGTGCTTTGTAGCCCTCTCCTTTGGGATTTGATGTTCCTCTCCTCCAAGGTGCCCTTGAAACTGAACAGGCATCCTTGAATGTAATTTTAAGATGAACAGCAGTGACGTGTTTGCAAATTTTCACCCTGGAGTAGCTTTCGTGAATGGCAGGAGGGGCTGTCTGCTGTAGCAGCAAAGGAGCATTCATTTTTTTTTGTCAGTGGTTGGATCACTGAGGGGAAGTGTGCAGGGCTTCCACCTTCAAGACTGCTCTTTTGGGAGGTGTAGCAGGTCGTAGCAGTTTTGAAATCTGAAAGAATTTTTGGTCTGTCTGAAAAAAAATCACTTTTCAGCCTTTGACAATCGGTTTAATGAAGAAGGTACAGCAGAGCTTTTTCACTGCAGTGGACACAGTCGCCTTCAGGATGTGCCTTATGTAGGAAAACAGGATGATAAAATCCTTTTTAACTTCAGTGATCTTGCATCATAAACTACTGCATTTCTTAAGGCATGTGTTTTAGCTGTCAAACAATTAGCCTTTTATTTTGTAAATTCCTGCAAATTTTTAGTTTGAAGGGTATTTAGAATTGATTTTTTTTTTGATGACACTTGTGTACTCTTCTGGAGGTACTCATTGAACTCCAGATTGACAAACCACAACCTTGTTTGATACGGTCTGAGAACTTGGAGAACATTAAATCTTGGCTTTTTGCAAGAAAAAACTGTGTTAATGGTTACAGATGTTTTTCCAAACAGTTAATCCAGTATTAAGAAGGCATCTGCTGCAATTACCTTTGTGTGTTTTAAAAACAAACAAAATCCCAACAAGCTCAAACTCTGAGGTAGTCATGGAATATCCTAAAAAATAGATTTCGTTTGGTACTGTGACATGTGTAATCACAAAGCTTTGGGGTTAGTGGGCAAATATTAAAAAATGCCTCCTGCAAGGGCATCTGTTTTCTAACTGAAGTACTCATTTTGGATGCAAAGCTTTTCAGGGTGTTTCACAGTGTCTTAGTTTCAAGTAACTATGAAATCAGAGGCGTTCTAAAAAATTTTTCCTGGTGTATGTGAAGTGGGGTGTGGTGGCAGCTGTATGGCCATCTTCAGAGGAGGCTGCTTATGTTAGCAAAAGGAAAGGCAAAGTTTGGGGATCTGAGTTCAAGGCTGTAATGTACTGAGAGCTAGTACGTACTCAGCAGTATGTGTTAAGGGTTGCATCAAACAAATCCCTTCTGGTGACTATGAAGGAACAGATAGACAAAACAGGCTTGGTTGGGTACAAATATTATTTCTGTGTATTTGATGCTGATGGGGAAATGTCTTTGCCTTCATGAAAAACACCTTAGGGAAATGACTGACAGATTTAAGGATTTAAAGTTGAACTAAAACACCAGCAGATTTTTATTCTGCTTGCAATTAAAGATGCAGTTTACAATTGCTTGTTTTATCCCCTTGAACTTGCATCCGTGTAGGGGTGCAGTGCTGTGTTTTGTAAGGGAAGAAGTAGAGAGGAATTCACTTGTATGTTTGTAACTTAAAAGGTACAATTGGGGGAGCATAATTTTGGCAGCAGGTGAATGGGGCAGGACACCAGTATCCAGTTGCTGCTGTGCAACGGAACCACTGAGAGTTCCAAAAACTGTGATCCCTTTGGATATTTTGCCATTATTACCACTTCCCTCTGACTTTCATGTGTGTATTGCTGAGCATTTGTAGTTTGGGCTTAAACTGTGGCGGATTCCAGCTGAGTGTGTAATACCTAGATGCGGTGTCAGTCACGCTGATGTGATGCGTGCGACACAGCCTATCCTGAATCGGATACAAGCAGTGGGGCTGTGGGAACATGTCGTGGCTCGCTTACCTGCCCAAAGCCTCTGGTATAGCTTGTGCACTCGTGATGCTGGCACTTCTGTCAGTGATTGAGCGAGATGGATTAAAGTTAATTCGGGAATGTGCACTCGTCGTATTTTGACCTGAAGTTCAGCAGCACTGAAGTGGTGTGTGAAAATCCACACTTGTGAGCGTGGATTTTGTTTCATTCAATTAAAGCCGTTTCATTTAACGTGAGAAATGCCAGATGTACCACTGAATGCACCTGGGTGGACATCCAGATCTGGCACGCAGGTTTTTTTACTGGAGAAAACTCTTAAGGATTGGGAATAATACAAGGCCTTTCGGTGTAAATACTGTCACCTGAAATCCAAGTTCAAAAATCAACGTTTTCATACTTAACCAACATGAGAAGATGTTGTTAATGAATGATTTGTTGATATAAGAGTTTTAAAATCTATAGATCCTATTAGAGGTACAACTTCTGTAGTTAAAAGCAAATCCATATTTTCCCTGTATGTGCTTCTGTCACTCCTGGGGTCGTGTCTGTACACGCAGTGCCGATGAGCTGCCTGGTGGGGGAACAGTAGTGCTTGGCCTTTCACCTGGTAGTAGTGTGTGTGCACAGCAGCATGACAGAGGCCTTTTGGTGTGGGCTCTGAAAACATACCAACATCGGCAGCAGTGCCCCCCCCACTCTTGGGGAGGGGTTATGTGAGGGTCTGAGCATGCTGCCCTAAATATAACAGGTGCTGGAGGCTCAAAGCCCAGTTAACTTTTTTGTGGTTAATTATCAAGGGAACCACCATCTTTCCAAATACTAATAACTGTACGTCAAGCAGTCATGTCCTCAGACTGGCATATGTATTCACAATTGGTGATTTGGAAAGGGAAGAAGCATATTGTCAGAGTAGGTGGTGCAGGTGGAAAAAAGAGGTATTCCATTCACAATTCTCCTAAAACAAAGCATGGAAGTTATGGTCAAAGACAACTTGAGTAAGTGCAACGTTGTAACGCAGTACTGACTTGTTTTGTCTGTAGGCTTTGATTGTATTCACTTGATGGGAAGTCATCCTCTTCCTGTAGGAAAATACTGCAAAACATAATAAAATTAATAACCTTCATTTTCTTCAGTGTGTTGTTTTGGCATGGGTGAGTGACGTGTGATGTATAAGGACAGTATGGTTTTTATAGCGTTTGAATATCAGGAATTTTTAGGACAAAAGCACTCTTTTTAAAGAGTGTTTTCCCAGTCACTGGTTGATAGATTCAGGAGTTAGACATTTGTAACAGCAGATACAATTTGGAGTGTTTGTATGCTTGTTAAGTTTTAAAATGTATGTGCCTGTAGTATGTTCTGAAAGGGCAATATAGCATTGTTTGTTAAAACCTGTTTCTTCTTAAAAAGATCAGCAAAATTCTGATTAATTACATGTACTAGAGGATAAAAATTCTCTTCTGCTGTTTTTTTAGCCCTAATGTTTAGGGACCATGACTAGTGATTAGGATTTAGGCAAATAAAGTTGTCATTCAAAAAAGCGGGTGACAGTGTGTTGGCAAATTTTTGCAGGCAGTTAAACCTCTGATTCATATACCTGACAGTAGGCTTAAAAGCACTCTGCAGCTGTTCTTGTGGCTCTACTCTTAAAAACTGATTTGACTTTAAAGGTGAGCTGCCGTTGCTTTGCACAGACCTGCTGCTGTGTTTGTAGTTGTATCTCCCAGAACTCCTCACATTACTTTTCTGTTTGCATAGACACGTATCAGGGATCCTATCTGCCTTATACTTACCATGTGTTTTTCTAATTTTGTCGCTCTTAGCTTTGGGGTTCGGTTAAGGAGAAGCATATATCTTTGCGTCCAGTTAGAGGGAGCAGCTGTGTATCCTGCAGCTTACCCAGATAGGCTTTGGTTCCTTCAAGGGACTGTAAAAGCTGTCAAATTCAGCCGAAGAGTATTCTATGTAAAGAAGTCCATCCTGCCTCTCTCAATTAGTTTCCTACAGCTACACACCATGATCTGGACTCCGTGTTTGTTACATCTCAAAGTGCAGGTAAAGCCAAACAACAGAAGATTTTAGAAGTAAGACCAAAGAAATAGGTAAATAATGAGGAAGCTAGCCCAGTGGTGAGAAGTGACCCGAAGCACTGTGTAAAAAGTGTCAGCTGGGCTAAGTAGAAGTCTGTGTTTGTTTAAAATGTGGACTATTATGAGAGTAGATGTATTCCTAAGCAAGCACCAGCTACAAGGTGTTTTATTAGAATTTTGACAGTGACTGTTCTAAAGGGGAAACATTAGACCCCACAAGTCAACTTCACATGTGTCTGAAGAGATGAGGTTTTATCACTGTCCAGAATCACTTGTGCAGTTACCCCTGTGATACGTAAGATTTAGGTCTGCAGTTCCAGAAAGGTAATGGTAACATACAAAATAATTCCAGTTAACAGCAGGTGAAAGAATGATTTGATCTTCGCTTAATACTTCTGTGGGGACCAGGAAATAGAGACTAGAAGTCTCATCAGTTTAACAGGTAATTGTGTGTGGCTAGAGCAGGTAATTTCCAATGGCTAGAAACTGCAGCAAGGCCAGCTTTAACAGGGGGAAATGCCATGTGTTATGTGCACTGTTGACTTTCTGGGATAGCTTACCCAAGTGTTGCAGGAGATGCCACGGGATGGTAGGCCTTCAGTCAAGATACTGTGCTGCTGCCAAACATTCCTGTCCCAGCAGGAGTCAGTTCAAACAAAGAACTGGTGATGGAGAAAAAAGAAATCTCTTGTGGAATCAGAAACTTCACACAGTGACGTTTTACTGTAAAGATCCTGCTTGAGCGGTGTCTTAGCTTGAACCTTGGGTCATACAGCACAGTGGGAAGAGGGAGAGGTTGCTGACTTGAACACTGAAGGGATGTTTCACATTTTCTGTAGTGAAAGTTAAAGGAGATACTGTTGTTAGACCTTGAGTCTCTGTGCTTAATATTGTAATGACTAATTAAATGCCAGGTGAGGAGTTTTATTTTTGGTTATAAACATGAAAGAAATAGCGGGCGGTAGGTCCATCATTAACTTTCCTCTCTGCTCGAACACCCCACAGGCTGTTCAGAGGCTCTCCTGGGCAGATTTGGGCAGATTTGGGCATCAGCTCCCTGCTGTGCACTGGCAACAGGAAGTTATATTGTCTTACTTGTATAAAAGGAAAATGTCCCCAAATGTGGTGGTTGTGGTGATAATTTAAGTTTTGTTTCAAACTGTGTGGGATTGTCTGTTTTTACTAGCCCGAATAGTTTCCTTTTGCTTGTTGCAGAAGTTTTTTGTTCTTTTCTTCCCCTTACCTATTGTCTTTGTTAGCTCTGCTTCTGCCTCTGTTTTCAGCTAACGTGATCATGTGCACCTCTCCTAACTTGTAGCTGCTCAGTTAGGAGCCATTCCCTGTATCTTCTCCAGAATTTGTCCATCTCAGTGGAGGGAAAGTGCTCTGAGCTTGGACACAGGGCCTCATCGTGAGAGTTGTGTGATGGTATAATAGTTTCCCTTGTCATCTTTTGTAATATTTTTTGGCTAACTCTTTGGATGCCATTACCCCCTTCGCTGCAGTTAAGTTTTCCCATCTTCATGTTAGTTATTAAACAGAATCAAGTTCTCTTTTAAGGTCCTGAATGCTGTTTTTAGCTTTACAGTCAAGAGAATCTTTCTGCTCTTGCTTTCTCTAAACCCACAGGCCATTTCACTGACCATTCCTGAAATATTTTTCATTCTTTATGAATGCAGCCTTTGGTGTACAGTATATTTCGATTTTGGTCTGGCAAACGTTGTCGTTTTGCAAGTGTGATCCATTTCTCTGGCTCTGTTGCAGTCTTACCCCCATAATTGCTTGGAGCAGGATCCCTGTCAGCATGTTCTTAATATGGCTATCCCAAATGTCTTTCCCTTTCTCCTTGTGAAACACCCAAAAGCAATGCCTTCATTCTTACTATTTTCGTGTCAAAATTGAATATTCTTTCTTTTAAGCAGCCTGATGTGTATATGACTTCTTAATCCTTCCCTGTACACCAGCTGCCATGGTACCATTACTTGTTTCTCTAGGGGTGATTTCAAGTTTTGTTCCTTTGTCATGACAGTACTTGGCTGTATCTGAAGCATACTTAAATTAACTAGGATGCTTTTCTTCACTACCACGTAACCGTTAAGTATGCAGCCCATTAACACCCTTTTTGTTGCTACATGCTAAAAATTTCTGAACAAGCTGTCCTGTGTTCTTCCATCAAGATTTTGTTGACACTGCTGTTAACACTCCCATTCAGTATGTGCATATGTGCACTTGAGGAAAGTCTTATTCTTTCTGCATTTATTCTTGTTTGTGATGTTTCTGGGTCCCTTTGTGTTCCTTGTGTTCAACTACGTCTAAAAGAATGTCTTCATTTTCATTTATGTGCTGCATACCTTCAGTTTAACATCCCTGTTGCTAGGTCTGAATCTGAGCTTTAAACTCTTATTTCATAATCCTCCAAGTTCAAAAATACTTGTAAATATGGTAATAATAATTTAGTACTGGCAAAATAAATGGAAAAGTCATATTTGGAAGCTGTTTCGTAAAAATGACACCTCCTTTCCCTTGTCCTCTAGTTGGTATGGGATTTTTTTGATGGATAATTGCCCAGATCTCTTTTTATCTGTGTGTTTTCAAACTTCTACCTCTTCTCCATTTTATTTGGTACAGATGCTGGTGGCATTAATCTGATTTACTCTTAGATCAAAATGTTTCTTTTGTCAATTTTTTATCAAAAACATAAATTAAACGTTTCTGAAATGTTGGAAGAAGAAATAGGGAATTACCAGGTCAAGCGTACGTGTAGCCCTGGGTTGCACAGCATTCTTTGCTAACACAGATGCCTTAAGATGTTTTGAGTCTGAAGGCTTTCCTTGGGGTTTTTTTGATAAACTACTTAACTATAAGCTCACAGGGAACAACTGGTAACAGATGCAAACAATTTCCCTTTTGCTTAGCTTCATTCTTTCATTGCTGATGGGAAAATTGAAACAAATTTCAATTTTACTTGGAATGTGTAGTTCTGACATCTTCCAAGAACAGTGGAAGCAGTTAGACTTTGGGGATAGGAATGGCATCCAAAAAGCAGGTAGCAAAACAGTTATAAGCAAAGAAGCAGGACTGTTTTCCTTGGAAGGTGCTTTCACCAGAGGTGTGAAGAGTTAAAAACAAAGAAATACTTGTTAGAACATAATCACCAATGTTCTGACTCAGAGACACAATCTAAAATTCAGTCTTGTATCAACAATAGGACTATATACAGGGCTATAAGCTGTTAGGCAAGGAAAACAAAATGTCTTTCTGACAGTAACCCGTTCATAAAACACTGGCGTCATTACACCCCGTTTATAAGAGCGTGGTAGGGCAGAGCTTTCCCTTGAAAGCTCAAGGCAGATAACAGCATTAAAACTTCTTTTGCATTTCATAGCTGATGTGTTTGAATGCATGCCCATTTCTTAACTCTGTTGTTTTAAGTTCAGGAAACCATTGAATAAATATAGCAAATGCATGGGGGAATTTATCTGTTTTGTTCTTACAGTAACAAAACCTTGTAGGAGAGCAGATTTTCTTGCATCAAAAAAAACTGCAACTGTTGATCAAGATCACAAGTTTAGATGCAAGTTCTTGGACTGTTCAAAATACTTCCGCAAAGCCAAGTTACTGCATTATCATATGAAATACTTTCATGGAGTGGAGAAGGCTGCAGAATCACAGCAGAACCCTGTAAAAAGAAATATTCAAACCAGAGCTGCTTTGGCTTCTGAAAAAGCTAATCAAGAAAGGTCAAAACGAGGACGGACCACAGCTGGTTCATTGTGTAAGTATCTTGCTGATATCTTTCTCTTTTGAAACAGCAGCAGGCAGGACAAACAGCAAAGAGCAGAAATCGGTTTTCTTTTGGGCCGAAGGAGTCTTTTTAGGGCTCCATCTTTGCATATTTCTTTGTGGAGAGGAAGCATAATATGTGTAAATATTATGTTTTCAGGAAGATCAAACTTGTAGTTCCCTCATCTAGAAATACAGATCATGTTCTGAAGTGAACTAACTAGGCAGCTTCTCTTATTAGTTTGTTTATTACTCACTTGAGTAATAAACCTCCCTTCTTTTTTCAAAAATGAATTCCCTGAGTTTCTGTCTTGGTTCCCCTCCCCCGGTTTAACAAATATCTAAGTAGTATTGCTGGAAGACTTTTTTTTGTCCTTTTCTGTGTTAAGGAAGCAGTCTGGATAACTCCAGTTCTCTCCTATTTCTTACTTGGTCTTTTACATTCCATGGTCTGACTTCAAGAGTATACTCAGCTAGAAACCTGGTACCAGTTTCTGCAGTATTTACAGGTGTCACTGCGAGGTCTATGGGGGAAAAAAAAGTCCGGGTATTTAACAGATGCAGTTGTTACAGCTGCACTTGATCAGATCCTCCCACACCTGACGGGTAGTGGAAAAGGATAAAAACTTAATAGTTAGGAAAAATAACTTAAATGTTTTAACTGCTTTGCAGTCTTCAGAATCATTTTAACTTCTGCTTCGCTGTCTCATTCTCTGAAGCGCTTTCTTCCTAGTGTCTTAACATCAGAGTGGCAGTCTAGGTCTAGTTGTCAACTGCAGTGTTATTAACCTATCCATACTTTGTTCTTTTGGATTGACTGCTTTTTATACTGCAGGTCCATGAAAGTTGTCATCTCGTCTTCTTATTGAGCCTGTTTTATTAAGTTCAGCTTTCTCTTTGCTGAATTCCCTGGTGTGTTTGTCTTTGCATTTGATCTTTCATTAATATTCTGTTTAATTAAGAATTTCAGTTGTGCAAATCATTCACTCAGCTACAGCTCGCTATAGCAGAATATTTCTAGCCTTTGCTTTTCCTAATGTGTCTGTCAAAGTCTTTCATTTGAGATGCTACTGCCTGCTCCTAACAAGATGAGTGTAACCTAAGTGTAATATACTGCCACTACATGTAAACTTATAGTACCCAAATACTTCTGTAACTGTAATGCAAGGGCGTAAGATTTGGTTAAGCAGAGGAAGATTTTTTCCTTAAATGCATTAGGATGTGCCAACTTGCACACATTATACTTTGCATGCAGCTTCAACGGGACCGAATTACTGCCTTGAGAAGCGCAACCGAGGCCAGCGCTTCGTGACTGGCTGCCAGCAGCTGCAGTGTGATCAGAACAGGCTTCTCGCATGTCACGTGCATAAACATAAACAGTCCGTAACCAGACTCCTAGTCTGCTTTTCGGAACTGCAGCATTATTTCAGTTTGTTTTCCGGTGATTGTCCTGAATGAACTGCCCAGTGACTCCAGATCTTGACCCTTTCGTTTATCCTTTCCCCCAAGTGCACACTGTTGGTTTGATGCCATCACCTTAGCTGCACTGGCAGGTAATTCTGTATGGTGTTGAGTTGTAACCCTGTTTCCTTATTTTAAGCCCTTACCCCTGTCATTCCCCATTTGTGAACAGATGCTTTTAACCTGGGTTGTTTTGGTGATGTCCCTCATGGCACATCCCTGCAAGTAGCCCCTGGGTTGTGCTGACAACGGTTGAACTTTGTATCAAGGTACAAGGTGGGACCATAAAGTTTTCAATTCACCTTCACTGTCAAAGCCTGCTGTTGTGGAGCTACAGTAGGGTTTTTCCTGAGGAGGAACATAATGTCTTTATATATCACTTATATGCCTGATATTAAGTGCCATTTGGGCTTTACCTCAATGTGGTTTTAGTTCTTCTGATTTTTGTTGGGGAGGTACCACCCCTTTTAAAGTAGAGTTAATGGGGCTTATGAGCTCACACTCTTCCAGTTTATGTTCTGTTCTTTTTTTCAAAATGCTTTTAGGATGACTTCTCACCCTGTATTGCTTAGTGAGAGTGAAGGCTTTGGAATACCTAAGTATGGTACATGGTGGGTTTACTTTTCATCTTTACAATCCTTTTGGGAGAAAAAATTTTCCTGTTCAGAGTGACTATATTTAAATCATTTTACTTGTTGGTACAAATGACCTTATGCTTCACTATATTAGATAGGTTTTAGTGCTCAAGAAAAGGTGGCAATTTCTAACAGATAAGACTTCAGAACTCACGGGTCTTGCTATTCCAAAAGCTTGGAAATACTTTTGCTTTAGAAGCTTTATGACACTGAAGTCCTTATCTCACAAGCTTTATTTTGGAGTTCTGGGACTCCTCACTGCTTCTGCTACACATTAAATTATAAATAAATAGTGAGAATGGACTGTTGGCTAGATTTGAAGTGAAAATATTTACTGTTCCTAAATTCTGTTCTGAATATTGCATAATTTCCCAGTAGCAAAACCTTTTCCTTGTAGTACTTAATATTGGAATTTTTACACATAAAAGGTGGATGTAAGTGGTCTTCAGTGACCATGTCGTGGGATGCAGAAAGGAACAATTTAAGTATAATTACCTTGCACTAAATTGGAGGCTCTGTCAACACCTGAAATGTAAATTGTGCCACTTGGCATTGGCTTCAAAGCTTGAGTGGCCTGTAAAGGTTAATGTGGAACTGATTAGTCCTGTCTCTTCCATTTCCCTAAGAAGTATCTTACTTTTGTGGTGGCAAATTTGACGGAGATCTCTAAATTATGTAGTGGCTCTTCATTGAACAGAGGGGAAGGAATTACCATTGCCTAGGCTTGTATTTCACATGAGCCTTCCTACTCCGAACAGAATAACGCAGACTTCAATGGCTACTGGATACATTCAGGGAATACCCCTTCTCTGTAATTTATCAGGAAGTATTCATTATGAAACAGCTCTTCCTCAGCCCCATGCTGTAACAGTTATCTACGTGAGTATTGCTGCTATTTCGTCTTCACTGAAAAAATTGTCCTTGCAGAGAATAAGGCAGTGGATTTTGTGTCCCCCTGGCATATGAGATGCAGGCATTTCTTCCCTCAGCCCTTAAGTTGCATTGCAGCTCTGCAGATGCATTACAGAGCCACCTGCTGCCACCTGTTGAAGAATCATAGAATCATAGAATGGTTAGGGTTGGAAGGGACCTTAAAGATCATCTAGTTCCAACCCCCCTGCCATGGGCAGGGACACCTTCCACTAGAAGAGAGATGCAGGAGAGAATCAAGACCTACCCAAATGTATGGGGATGCACAACCTTAAAACAAGCTTGTTGAGCTTAGGCTGCGATGGCTTCTCAAAGGCTGTCTTGCAGGAAAGAGTTGCTTAGGTCTGTGACAGTTCAAATTGAGATCTTCTATCAAATTTATCACTTGGAAGTTGAATGTGGAGTAGTATCTGTTAAAACTTTTGACAGTTAGTTACTTCTTGATTGCTGTAATAAAAAAAGGAGTAGAACCACATTCCACATTCATATGCATTAACCTTAAGATAGTCTTTTTTCTTTGTGGTCCCTTCCCTTTCTCTGCACAGTCACTTAGTTTACCGTTCAAGTATGTTGTGCCATACTGTGACTTGGGCCCTACAAATACTCACTGTCAGCAACTTCCTCTGAAGATGTCAGTTTTGTCTTTCAGATATGTCTGTCTGTCCATGTTACTTTGTGAAGTGCCTCAAAAGGTTATTTTTAATAAAGCTTGTTGTTCCCTGACCTAGACCTCTCCAAGGGCAAGAGGCATGGAATAGCTTAATTTCACTTTTTGTACCTACAACTCTAATTTGAACATCTGAAGTATGTCTCTTGACCTTAGTCTTTCTGAATTGGTGGCTTTCATGGTTTTGTAAATCTCTTCATTTGGAAGGTCAACAAAATGTAGTTCATGCCCTTGTGTTGAACAATTTTTCTGAAATCTGAAAGTCAACTTTTGCCAGACTTAAGTGCTTTCACAGCTAGTGCACCTCACCTCAGACCTTGAGGAGGATCTGTGCTTGATAAGTACTACAGATTTTTTCAGGAAATTCTAACCTCGTTATATATGAACAAGTAGGGGAGCGGATATGTGTGTGCAAGGAAATGCTGTCAAAACCTTCACAAGGTGGCTGGTGTACACTTGAAGTAACTAAGTATAACTAAGTAGTTATTCATAGGGCACTCAGCACGAGTATCATACTGGCAGGGACTTCATCAGTTAATACCCTTAATGCTCCCAGAATGTAGTTCAGCTCCCATGAGGAGTTTTGCACTAATGGAGGTTAAACCTGGCTTTGAGACTCAAAAAATGCCATGCAGCATTAGGCTGAAGTTTTGATACACAGGTATGTAGTGGCAGCCTCAGTCCAGCCAGTTGTTGCCAGCCTTGGTTCTGCTCTCTTTGCCATGGGGAAGGGGAAAAGTAATGGACCTGTGTTTTGTAGTTCAGAGCCTGTAGAAAATAGACCCCTGCTGAGGATTCCATGAAAGGTGGACATGCAAACATGCATTTTGTCAGTAGGTTTAAATTTTTGTACATGACCTTGTTAGAAAATTCTGCCTACTCCAAGTTAGTTACAGTAAGGCATGTTAACACATAAGTGTCTTAATGCCAGCAATAGATCTAAAGAGGAAAGGGGTCTCGTCTTCATTCGTGTTACTGATGAGATCCTAACGGTGCACGTGGAGGGAACAGGTTGGCACCCTCACTTGGACATCCAATGCATCCAGCTGTCAGTGGGTAGCTCTTAACGTGAGCTGCTGGCGTGCAGCTTAGTGGCTTTCAGAGTGACCCTCTGGGGTGTTTCCTGTTTCCTCTGGATATTGGGTGGTGGATGCTAGGCGGTGGAATGTTCATGGATGACTTACAAGCACAGGGATTCCTGCTAATGGGCATTAACACCCTCTGTGTTAGGTGTAATTGCTGATCAGCTTTGTGGCTTATGTTGAGATACTGTGTTTAGTTTGTGGAGAATGGCTGTACTTCAGCTGTAAGTCAAGATGATACGTGGTCTTTCAGTTCTTGGAAATACCAGTGGATATTCTCAGCAAATGATCTCAGGGATGTGAATATTGTCTGATTCACAGGACTTGGGAATTCAGTCTCTTGGCTTCCTGCGAAGGCTGAGTTACCATCTGAACTGGGCGTTTGTGTTCCACTGGGCAGAAAGCTTTTGCCTTGTCTGTCACGGAGTCTTGACATGCTCAGATACAAATTCTCTTAAGGCTCTGTCCTTGTGGTTTCTGCATGGATGAGGTGGTTTCATAAATCAGGTGTGTGTTAGTTTCTAAGATCTTTCACTGCTTCCAGGACAGCTCCTTGTGTGGAAGAGGATGCTTCTCCCAGTCTTGGCGAAGTGGCCTGGAAGAAGGCAGTGGGTCGTTAATCAGCAAGCCTGTCCATTTCCAGTTTGTTATGAACCTATCTCCTGTTCCTCTTAGTGGTATTTAACATTTTCTGAGCTAGAAATTTTTCTGCTGGTGTTGTGGTTAAGCATTACTGTTCAAGAACAGTGAAAGTGTTCACCACCCTGGATGTCAGGAGGGCTTTTGCGGTCTGTTTGTAGAGAATTGTGTGGGTCTAATGATGATTAATTATATCCTGGCTCACAGAGGTATTAAAGGGTACTAATACCTATATTGATTTTTGTTTGAGTGGGTCATCATCGGGAATGTGTGGGGGCTCTAGCTTAGATGCCACCCGTCTCCCACCTCAGGATCTCTCTAAGGTAAGTGCAGGTATCTTCATGGGACCTGCATAGACAGCTTTGAGATGCGTAGGAGTCTCACGTGCTTCCTAATGGGAGTCTCTGAGCATAGTCCTGCTGTTCACCACAGACTCACAGTACAGTCCTGTTGCCTCGTGCTCTCAGTAGAGTTCTTACGTGGACAAGTGACTTGCAAGAGAGTTTAGCTGTAGCACTAAGAAAAGTTGAAGGAGTTGCCCATGTAATTACGGTGTGCGGTGTGCTCTGCGTTGGCCTTTCCTGAAACTGAAAATCAGGTGTTCCTGTGAATGGGAGGAGGTGGAGGAGTAGGAAGCATTCTGGGGAGTGAAAGCTGGCTGAGAGGCATGAGGATGAAAGCGCACAGCAGCTCTGCAGGTGCTGCGAATGCAGGAAGCCTGAGCTTGGCGACTCTGCAAGATTCAAAAGCATAGGCCTTATAAGTTCTTGGCTGTGGTTGTTACAGCAAGTAATTGCTTTGTTCTTTTTGGGGAAATCTTATGAACTGGCCTGTCTGAATTATATTTGAAAATGTTGTATTGAGATGAAACAGGACATTAAATGTGGAAGGCTTAAAAGTTTCGGTCTACATCGCACAGGTTTTATCTTAAGTGTTTGGGAAAGTAAATGTTAACTTTCCAGTTTTTTAATCTCATCATCTTCTCAGGTCTGAAAATTTATTTCAGAGTACTCAAAGATCTCACAGACTCTAAACTTTTCCGTCAGTTGAACAAAAAGTGTTTTGAAACTTATTTGTTGATAACTTTTTTTTTGACAGTTATTGAAAGAAATTACATCCATGGTATGATAAGAGTACCCTTGAACTCCTTGCAGATAATGTTACTAGTGGCTGAAAAATCTTACAGAAATGTATCTTTTACCACACATAAAGGTTAATACAACATATTCTTGCAAAAATCCCCTTAAACTTTAGTCTCACAAAGCTAAAAAACTAATGGATGTGAAATACAGTTTTGTTCACATCTCACCCCTCAGCAAGCCCAGCTGCCTTGTGCTTTTTGAGAGTCATGGGATCAAGGTGGCCATGGGATTCTTCAAATGTGACCTCGTGAAATAAAGTTGAGCTGTTGGGAGAGGGGAAAGTTAGGAGGCCTAAATGAAAGTTGTGTGGCTTGTACAGTCTTTTTCTGTTGTAACTTTGGGCTTCCTTGAGATGGTGTTCTGTAAGTATTTTTGGAACTTAATGCAAAACGGTAGACAACCAGGAAAGTTCAGGAGAGGCTTGTTTACATGACTTCCTGCCCTGTACTGGTACAAACAGTTGGCATTTCAGAATGTTTGTTAGGACACTGGTGTTCCCAAAGAGGGTATGAAGTTCCTATGTCTTACTTCTCAGCTACCATGTACCATGAGCAAGTGCTTTGTCTGTCTGAACTGCTGATGGTTGTCTTTAACTCACTAATCATGGAAGTCTTCAGATGAGCAAATTCTGTTAGCAAGAAGTCCTGCTAAAATAGACCTGTATTTAAAAACAACAACAAATCCCTCCTTATACTTATTCCTGCAAGAGAAGTTAGTCCTGTTGAAAATGGAAGGCCATACACATACTGCAGTATCTTATTAAGGATTATCATGTGGTTTTAATAATTATTCATATACAAAACATGCTGCTTTCTAGTCTTGCAGATCTTGAGGTAAATAAGCACCCAGGGAAAGGTGCATACAACAATGGGTTGTATGACTGGACAATGGTACCTTTATGCGACGGTCTGGGTTTGGTCTAATTTCTGTCTTCTGTTGTGGCTGCTGTAAAGCACTATGGCAGGTGACTAGAAGGTATCCATTTGATTACAGAAACATTTACAAATGGCTCCTTTTCTTTTTTTCCTTCAAGTTGTAACGCAACTTCAGAGTGAGAGAACCAGGATTAAAGTCGTGTGATGGCCTTCAGATTTCTGAATCATGGAGTTTTCTGTCTGAAGAGATCCACTTGATTCTGAAAGCTCTGTAATGACATAGAATCATGGAATCTTGTAATTTAGAGAAGACCTTTAAGATCATCAAGTTAAATCGTTAACCCAGTGCTGCTAATACCACCACTAAACCATGTCCCTAAGCACCTCTTCCACATCCTCCACATCTTCCTAAATCCCTCCAGGGATGGTGACTCCACCATCTCCCTGGGCAGCTCGTTCCAATGCCTGACAGCCCTTTCAGGGAAGACATTTTTCCTAATACTCAATCTAAACCTCCCCTGGCACAACCTGAGGCTGTTTCATCTTGTCCTGTCACTTGGGAGGAGAGACCAACCCTCACCCTCCTTTCAGGTAGCTTCCCCAGCTCCGTTCCCTTCTCTGGACACGCTCCAGCCCCTCAGTGTCCGTCCTGTCATGAGGGGCCCAGAACTGAACACCCTGAGGTGCGGCCTCACCCGCACCCAGCACAGGGGATGACACTGCCCTGGTACTGCTGGCCACACTGTTCCTGATGCAGGCCAGCATGCAGTTAGCCTTGATCTTTGAAAGACTTACATGTCTTAATGTGCCTCGTTACATCTTCAACTTGAAATGCTGGTCAGGGCAGAGTACTTGTCGCTATTTCTTCTCCGAAGTATGCTCTCTTAGACTCTTCTGTTTTCAGTCATTTTAAGGTACCACACACAATTATTTAGTTAGAGGTGTCCAAGTGAAAATCTGGCTTGGTACCAAAGTCTCTAGGCAAGAAGGAAGTTGCCTTTCATATCCACTGAACTTTTGAGTGCTTATGATGATAGAATTGGACGTTCTTGATGGAAGTCAGCAAGCTCTCACCTTGGCTACTGGGTCTTATTGACAAAGATACTTGATGTGATACTCCAAAATGGCAGCGTACTTGTCGTCTTGTCTTGCTGACCCACAGGCCATGGAGCCTTAGCTTTTATCAACTTCACCTCTCTTTCCATGTCCAGGAGTCTTTCAGCAGG